CCAGGAAGTGAATCGTGCCGGAAGTGGCCCTCGGGGCGGTACTGCGAGGGACTGGGCCCTCCGCTGCCAAGGCCGCACGGTCGCGACAGAAGAGAAACAAGAGAGCTGAGGGAAAGAGAGAGACGGGGCAGAGCCGTCTCGCCGGGGACACCGTTTTGGAAGACAAGGTGGTTCGCTCCCGACTTGCAGGGCACCCTGGGAGATGTAGTTCGGCGCAGTCTTGCGGCTGGACTACAACTCCCAGAATGCTCCTGGAGGAACGATGGAGGTAACCCCAGGGACCTCTCCTGCCACGAAGGTGGCCAGTTGGGTGATGCATAGATGAGAATCCATGTGTTATTTCAACACATGCAGTGAACACACTCCCCGGTACTAGGGTTTCCCTCCTGCTTCGTGTTCCACCCTTCTGGAGCCATCTTATTGCGGCTTGACCTCGGCACAAGGGATTCTGGGGTTTGTGGTTTGCAAGCCCATCGAGGCTGACACCTGAAGGACGCCACTGCACCGCTCAGCCTGTCAGCACGTCCAGGGGAGCTTTTCGACTTCACTGGGGCGAAAGGGAGAGCAGAGAAGGCCACCAGAAATGTTGGTTGATAGTTGACTCGGGCCAAACGGGAACTCGAACCTTAAAATGAAACCGGTGCCCTTCCACGCTCAACCTCCCCGTCAGAAGCTCCTTTCCCCCCATGTGTTGAGAACCCACTCTGGGGTCGACTGAGCGATGCATTCTTGGAAGGCTCAGTAAGACCCTGTCGTCCGGAATCCTGCTACCGAGGCTGTCACCATGAACCTGCTAAAGGTGTGCAGTGGGGGCAGGAGACCCGGCCTGTTGACTCAAACCCCAAACTTTGAGGCTCTCGAGCTGAAGACGATACTTAATTCTCCACCTCTGCTGACCCTGTGGCTGCTCCTGACCTTCACTAGCCCCTCCTCCTACACAAGACCCTTAAGCCAACCCCTTCGTTTCATTCTTCACTGCACGATTCCCCTTGCCGCTTATTTCATCCTGATATCGCCTAAATGCCTAGGATGGGGCTGGACCAAGTGATTTGCACATGCTTTTTGATCCTCTTCTCCATCCTTAGATCTCCTGATAAATGAAGCCAGGAAAGGGGGTTGGGGCCGGGGGGGAACCACTGCCTTCCAGCTGATGGCCCCCGCATAGCGACCCTATAGATATACCATATAGCCGCCCCCATCCCCTAAGGTTTCCGAGCTCATAAATCTTTACAGGAGCAGACAGCCTCATCTTTCTCCCAGCGAATGCTTTACCCAATACGCCACCAGGCCTCCCAGAAGTACTGCCATAGCCGCCTCCACTTTTTTGGAAGTGTTGTTTTTCTAACCACCAAATATAGAATATTTGTCACCCCCTCCCCTTCTTCCCATTCTCTAATTCTGCGACCATCTTCTGCCTTTTAATTCCACCTTTAATTTAAGAGAATTGAAAAGAGTCCAGGGGGAAAATGGTTCTTGCTTTTACTAATCTGAATTTGAGCTGAGCTTTGTAGGATACTAAGAGCAGTGGTGGCAACGTCTTATTCGCCTCCTTCCTTTTCTTCTTTTTAATTAAGTTTCAAGTAGTGCCACTGCCATTACACTTCCTGTGTAGAGACAGTATCTTTTCTTCCGGAGGAAGAACTTGTCGCCTCAGTTCACAAGTCCATACAGCTAGCTAGCTACAAGTGAAATGCATGCGGCACCTATGAAAACATTCGCTCAAAGCAAACCCACTGAGGAATGTCCTTTTCTTAAAAGGTTAGGTATTGCTGAAGAAAGTTTAGAATAGATTAAAATAAATCTCATTTGGAATTTGATTCATTGTTCCCTCTTTTTCTCAGCACCCGTCGATCCTGACTGACTTTTCTAAAGACCCTGTTGGGTCCTAGAACCAGTTGCTATTTCCGTTTTCACTTTTCTACACTTGGCAGTCTCCAGACTAAGCCAGGTCTCGTTTCTGAGGTTCCAAAAATAATTATTGTATTCAGTAGGATTGGTTTTGATAGTTTATTGAACCTGAGTGTCGTTATCATAATTTCAGGGAGGTGGAGAAAGAAAGAAGAAAAGAATTAGAAGACTAAGTCTTTGCCTTTCATTCTCTTGATGGCTACTAACAATTATAATGGTCAGCCTTCAGTTTTTAAGTGCTTTACATAGATTAAGTTATTGAATCCCCAATACAGCCCTCTGAAATAAAACACTATTATTAGACACATTGTCCAGATGGGAGAGCTGAAGCACAGAAATAAATGATTTGACCAAAGGCACACATAGTAAATGGCACAGCCAAGATGCACCCCCAGTTTTTTTTTAAACCCAAATATTTTGATTTCAGAACCCAATGCTCAACTTCCCTTTTGTCTAGGGCCCCATCTCTAAGATTTTCCTCCCCTGTTCTTTCCCTCCACTTTTGGTGAGAGCTTGTGTTTACCAACTATGCCATCCAGCCTTCTGTGGTTTCCCATGTGTTTTTCAAGCCTACATTTTAGTTTCCTTTCTGAGTTATGTTAGCTAGCTTCTTTTTTCTTTTGTTTACTTTACAGGCATCTCCTGCTTATTAATCTCTTTTCAGTGTCCATTTTCCTTGCAAACATTTCTGCTTTTTTTTCAGAAATCGTCCTCTGCAAATCTTGCTCAAGAGAACAACCTTTTTCTACATCTTGCGTGCTGTTTTTCTTTTATATGCTGTGAAATATTTTCATAAGCTTGGGTAGGGTATTTCTTTTTCCCTGTTTATTCATCCTTACAATGAACAATACTGTTATATGTCTTAATCTTTTTAATGAGTAATTTAAAGAATTTCCATGGGCTGTTGGGGGAAGGTAGTGAACTTCTAACCAGATAAAGTGGTGGCACTAGAATTGGTATCACCCAGTAAGGTAATTCATGATGTCACACACCACCACGCATATGAACCACACCAAACCACCCTGAATCCTTAATAATGTTTATCAATTTTAATCATAGAATAATATGCAATGAATTTAGTAGTACATTGCTGAAATTTAAATATTTTATTCTATACAAATACAGCAAAACTTTTGCAAAATCTATCTTAAATTATGAGATTATCAGTACAATATTAATAACTGAGCAGAAACCATTTTTTTCTCTTCTAATTACTTTTTCTTTTTTTAATTACTTTTTCATGCTCAAAAAAATACTAATAGAGGTCCACAATATTGTAGATAAAAATACCACTAAAAAAAACGCCAGCAAGAACAAAAACAAGAGTGTGAAAAGTCACATGACTCAAAGCATCACTGAAATTGGGTCATTGGCAGGTATGCCTGAAGCACTGCTCACCGCTATTGAGTCCATTCTGACTGGTAAGGGTCCTAGAATAGACTAGAACTGTCCCTGTGGGTTTCTCAGGGTTCTCCCACAGAGCACCTGGTGGGTTCAAACAGCTGACCTTGTGGTTAGTAGCCCGATCTGGAGCCCACTATTCCATCATGACTCCTGAAGCATGTAGAAGATTCAAAAGAACACATCAGCACAGAGTTTCAGCCTTGTGGTATATTGACTCATGTAAACTGGGCTTACAAAGAAATATTTTTATTGTTATAACTAACTACAAGGTTATGTTAACTACAAATAAAATTTCTAATAAAAATAATAAATAAATACATAAATGACACAATCATTTTACCGGCAGTGAATTTGGTGTCACTACCCTCTGACCGTGTCACCTCATGCGTCCCTACTGCCTTCAATACCCTAGTGAGATTACTGACTCAAGGCCTGCTAAATTTAGACCTACCTTTTCATTTGGAAAATCCTTTGTATTGACTGGAAAAGGGTATATGAAAGAATTAAACTAAGATGTAATTGTTACACGTGACATAAAATCTAAATTGAACAGTCCAGGACCAAACCAAAATGAAATCCATTGCCTTCAGGTTGATTCCAACTCACAGTGATCCTGCAACCATATAAGACAGAGCAGGGTTTCTGAAACTGTACATCTTAAGGGGAGAAGACAACCTCATAGTTCCCCCTTGGAGCAGCAGGTGGGTTTGAACCACTGACCTTACAATTAGCAGCTTAATACTTAAACCACAGCACCATCAGGGATCCTTCATTCAGGGAAGCTGGGGTTGTTGTGTGTGTCATCGAGTTGGTTCCAACCCATAGCAACCTTATGCACAACAGAATGAAACACTGCCCGGTCCTATGCCATCCTCACAATTGCTCCTCTACTCGAGTCCATTGTTGTGACCACTGTGTCAACCCATCTTTACCAAGCAGGATGTCCTTCCCCAGGTGCTGGGTCTCTCCTGGTGACATGCCCAAAGTGCATGAGATGAAGGCTTGCCATGTTTGCCTGTAAGGAGCATTCTGGCATTTTTTTTAAAAAGTCCTTATATTTATTATGATGAAAATATACACACAAACTTCCCTTATTCAAGTGTACAAGTCAGTGACATTGATTACATTCTTGATCTTATGCAAACTCTATTGCAAA